AAAAAAGTGTTTTTATCTCAATTTGTTCGCTTACAGTTACTGCAGTTTGTCATATTTCAGAATCTTTGCTGTGCAAGTTGTGCAGCTTGAAAAACAAAAGCATAACATTCGAAAGGATAATCTCTTTATCGCTACATTGAAACAAAAGTACACATTGACAGAACTAGAACTACGCAAGCCACATCTGATAATTTCCTAATGTTTTTGGATTGCCTCAAGTGTAGGTAACATGGTGAGTACATTCCTACTACGAAGACCTAATAAAATCCTTCTTTTAACACAAATATTACAACATCAACTGGTACATGTTTTTTTAGATGCTCTTCATCCTAGCAGTGCTCGCAACTTCTTATATAACGGCTATCGATACCATGATGATAGGTAGCAGATTTAGTAAACCATTACCGGCACATTAATCTCAATCAAGCAGTGAAATGCAGAGTTATCTCCAATGATCTGTTGATGTTACAAATACTTCCTTATTATCTCTATCATTCCTCTTCAGCCGAGTTAAAGGCTCCTTCAATCCCTGAATATGCCAAACATTTGACAGGGCAGGCACTAATCGACTACGTGAACGACAACCAGCCCTTCTTTAGGGTAAATTCGATTCTAGATCTAATACCTCTATAAAATTTCACTTTGACATTATATGTCGCCAACAACAGGAAAGGGGTCATCCACAAAGGATGCTTTCAGGCAGATATACCGACAATGTCTTACAAGCAATTCAAATCCCGCTTAATGGATTCAAAGTACCTGAAAGAAGACAAGGAAGCCCAGATGACAAAAGAGATCTTTTTTGATGAACAGATTCCAGAGAGGTCCGTGGAGTTGTAACAGACATGTAACAGGATTTTTAGGATTTGTAACATTTTTGCAATTATTGTAGCTTCGATGCACGAGAGAAATGGCCAGATTGTGAATCCATCAAGATTATCCGCGATCAAGCCAACTGTGGTAAAATACCTCCTCCAAAAATATAATAACTATGGTAACACTGCCACCAAGTGTTCTAGGATCTTGCTGGGCTGTCTCCGCAGCTTCGGCCATGTCTGATAGAGTGTGCATCCAAACAAAAGGCGCAAATCAGGTTAGACTAGATTAGGAGAGGTGATGGGTTTAAAAAAATGAGTACTTTTGCAGACACTCATCTCCGACGCTGACATCCTTGCGTGCTGCGGTATGTTCTGTGGATATGGGTGCGTTTTCCTTCATTAGATTTCTATTTCATTCATAGGCAGGCTCCAATGAAAGAGTATCAGATGAAGCTGCGATTTATGACTATAACATTTTCATCTTGAAGGATTTTTTCAAGATACCACTTGATCATTAGAAAAAAACTTCATTTTTCGTTTATTTCATTTATTCAAAATGTAAAAGTAGTAGCGCAATTGACAGTAAATGGCTCATCATTTATCCAGTATAAAATGATTAGGACATGCATTCAAGCGATCAGTCTGTTAGTTGGTGAGCACGCATATTATCTGGTTAACCCGATCGGTCCACAAGTTAATAAACGCTACGCTGCGAACGAATCAACACGAATGGGAAATGCGCGAAAATGGTCCTATGAGCTTTGCATCGCGCATAGTAATAATGATAAATTAAATTTGTTAAATACTATTAAACGAACACTTTACTGCACTTGCTCAATACATTTCCTCATAGTCCGCCTTCATTCAATGCAACTTCTTCATTCTTGTAAGAAAATTTGTTTTCATTGAGTAAGAGATGCTGAATTCTCAATGTGTTTGCTGCAGAAATATTTCTGCTGGTTCTCAATCAGCGGCATAGAGA